ATACATTTGCACATGCTTTCTGTCTGGATTGTATAGATGTCTACTTATTGTCCAGGGTTGGCAATAACCTTCAATCCATCTTTCAGAGTGTCCTCTTATGGGCTATCAACAAAACCTTTCCTAATTTGGGTTTTTGGCAGCTGAATCCAACCACCACTGGAAACCAAACTGCTGGGCTTTAGAAAGCCCAGCCCATCCATCTGGACAGGCCTTTCTCAAAGGAACCCTGACCTCCACTGGAGACCCTCCTCTCTAAGCCCCTCTTAGCATTATTGTGTTGAAAGAGGCTGTTGAAAAACCAATATTCATTTGAGAATACGCAAGTGTTCTCATCATGCTCTCCAAACCCTATCCAGAGTGAGAGCATAGAAAGACAAAATGATTTGTGGGCTTGGAGGCTCAATGAATCAGGAAAATTCTCCCCAATCTAGTATTAACAAAAAGAATAGGTGAGGGAGTACAAAATTAGGTTGACAGGATGACTAGGAGTCTTGGTTATGGTCCTGCCTTCCTGTCAGGGGAATGAGCGCTAATAACCTTGCTGATGGTGAGTTATTTTCATAAGGGCATTTTAAACGGCTGCTCCTTCTCCCCAGATAGCCAGACTGCCTCATGCCAGGGAGCCACCCCACCCCCTTTGCTTCTGCCGCCCCGTTGCCTGGGTTGAAAAATGTGAGGCAGCTGTGGGAGATGAGATCCAGACATCCTTCTATTTACTTATTTAACTAGTCTACTGGCCTGGGTGCAGTCATGTGGCTTTCCATTTACATGAGCTGCTAATTGGATATCAGTACCTGCCCAGCCTTGGTCCATTCTTAGGGGCCTCTAGATGCAGGTCTTGGCTATTTCACTCCAAATATTTTGTGGATGCAAATATGCTTTGGGTGCAAAATGTGGCCAGGTAAAACAAATGAGAACAGTGTTCTTGATCTTTAGCATGCTTGAGAACCACCTGTGAACTTGGTAAAATACACAGTCTCGGGCCCACCCAAAAGGTTCTGGTTTAGTATGTCTGGAGTAAGGTCTGAGCATTTACATGTTTAATAAGAACTTGCATTTCTAACAAGAAAGTGATGCTGGCATTGTTGGTTTGCAGATTACACTTTGCATAAGCCACTGCCTTTGAAGGACGACCTAGCTAACAGAAAAGGTTACAAATTTGTTCCTTTATCTTTAATCAAGTCAACAAAGAACTCCGGTCCTACAGATGCTTATCCCTCCCCAACTCCTTCCACTGCGGAGCTAATCCTTTAGGGCTTTGCTTGAGTCCCTCTAAAGCCTAAGCCAGCTCCTGCAACCTAAGTAATACCTCCCTTACCTGAATTTCTACTGCACTTCAACACACTGCTGCCTGCTTTTGTCCTAATTATGCACTAATTGTTCCCTGCATGTGAATTTTGTCATAGATCTGAACCTTAATGCAATTGGACAAAGGCCCTCTCAACACTCACAGAGCTAGAAGTAGGCACAGAATGCTCTTTAAAATACATTTCAAAGATCAAAGTGGAGTTAAATGAGTGTGATATGGAACGTAAGAACAGGTAACACTAGAGAGCTGTGACCATAAAGGAGTCATCAGATCAATCCATCACCATGTCATTTTGGCTGAGGTTTTAAATTTTTTGTTTGAAGTGGCTGGCATGAGATAAAGAGCAACTCTGCTATGTAGAAGAGTAATTGACTTGCATTTTCTGGTATTTTCTCTAGATAGAAATTAGTTCAAACTATTTCCAAGATGTTCAAAAATTGGATGTGGCTGTATGAAACACGTTAAAAAGTTAGATATGGTAGGGACTGACTATGGAATGGTAATGTGGGGAGTAGGGCAGACCCTCTTCCCAAGTAAATATCATATAAGTTCTGAAAATTATAAAAGGATAATTAAAAGATAAGATGTATTTTCAATCCCTAGAGCAACCACTAAGAAAACAGTTCAAAAAATATGGAGTTTAAAAATCATTAAGGGCCATAAGTTTTTCTGCTAGAAAATATTCACTTAATGAAAAAGAAGGTAGCAAAAGAGGAACAGAAGAACAAAAAAAAAGAGACACAGTAAAAAAAGAAGTAAATTGGCAGACATAAATCCAACCACATCTATAGAAACACTAAATATTAATGGATTACACAATCCAATCAAAAGGCAGAGGTTGCAGACTAAATAAGAAAACAAAACCCAAATATAGTATGTCAACAAAAAATATATGCTAGATTCAAATAAACAAATTGGCTGAAAGTAGAAAAATGGAAATAAACATACCATGCAAACAGCAGTCATAAAAGAAATGAAGTGGCTATAAATATATCAGACAAAACAGACATTAAAATAAATAATGTCACATGAGATTTAAAAAGACATTTCATAATGTTAAAAATTATCAATCCATCAGGAAAATATGGTAATTATAAACCTATATGCAACTAATAATAGAGACCCAAAATACATGAAGCAAATGTTAACAGAATTGAAGGAGGAAAGACAATTAAATAATAGTTGAAGACTTCAATATCTCAATTTGAACAACGGATACAGGAACTAGAGAGAAAATTGACAAGCATATAGAAGACATCTAAAGAAAATACCACACAATAACAGAAGAATACGTGTCCTTAGATAGCACACATGGAATATTCTCCAGGATAGACCATATAATAGACCGTAAATCAAACCTCAATAAATTTAAGGGGAGTGAAATTATACAAATTGTTTTCCAGCCACAGTGGAATAAAATTAGAAACCAATAACATAAGTAAATCTGGAAAATTTAAGAATACTTGGAAGTTAAATACATACTCTTAAATAATCAGTGGCTCAAAAAATAAATCATAAAAGAAATAAAGAAATACTTAGAAATGAGTGAAAATTAAAACACAACATTCCAAAACATAGGGGATGCATCTACAACAGTACTTAGAGATGAATTTATAGCTATGAATGTCTATTTTTAAAAAGAGGGTAGATCTCAAATCAGTAACCCAGTCTTTCACATTAAAAAACTGGAAGGGAAGAGAAAACTAAACCCAAAGCAAGCAGAAGTCAGAAAATAATAAATAATAGAGCAGAAATAGATGAAATAGAGAATAGAAAAAAATCAACGAAACTAAATATTGGTTATTTGAAAGGAACCATAAAATTGACAAACCTTTAGGTACCAAGAAAAAGGGAGAAGATTCAAATTACTAAAATCAGGATTTAAAAAGAGGCATCACTACTGACCTTAAAAAAATAAAAATAATTATAAATTAATGGTATGTTATACCTTATGTAATTGTGCCATAGTTCTTATATATCCTGTTCTAATTTTTTTCATTTATTTTTATCTTTGCTTTTTCAGTTTGGAAAGTTTCTATTGACATGTCTTCTAGCTTCCTGATTCTTTTCTCAGACATGTCCAGTCTATTGATGAATGCACCAAAAGCATTGTATTAGTCCGTTTTCACACTGCTGATAGAGACATATCCAGACTGGGCAATTTACAAAAGAAAAAGGTTTAATTGGACTCATAGTTCCACGTGGCTGGGGAGGCTTCACAATCATGTGGAAGGCAAGGAGGAGCAAGTCATATCTTACATGGATGGCGGCAGGCAAAAAGAGAGCTTCTGCAGGCACACTCTTATTTTTAAAGCCATCAGATGTCATGAGACTTATTCACTATCAACAGAACAGCACAGGAAAGACCCAACCCTCTGATCCAATTATCTCCCACCAGGTCCCTCCCACAACACATGGGACTTATGGGAGCTACAAGATGAGATTTGGGTGAGGACACAGAGCCAAACCACATCAGTCATTTTTTTATGATGTTTTTTTCTTTCTAGCATTTTCTTTTGTTCTTAGGGTTTCTATCTCTTGTATATTGTCCACATTTTTCATGAGAGCTTTTGCCATATGAAAGAGTTACTTTAATACCCAGTCTCATAAATTCAAAATATCTACCATATCTGGGTTTGGTTCTAATGCTTAACTTTTTTTTTCAGGCTGTGTTTTTGTCTCTTTAGCATGCTTTGTAATTTCTTTTGTTGAAAGCCAGACATGACATACTGGGTAAAAGGAACTGAGCAGAAAATAGGCCTTTAGTGTGAGGTTTTAGTTTATGGGAGGAGTAAGACTGTGTTTACTGTTTGCTATAACTACAGGTGTCAAAAGCTAAATTTCCTTTAGTGTCTTTGGTTCTGACCCCCTATTGTCTTTGGGTTTCTCTAAATACTACCTAGGAAATAGAATCTGAACCCTGTAGTCCTTTACATATATAATTCACTGTTGTTGTACTGAAGTCTAATTGATGTTGTGTTGATTCAAGATTATGCAATGATAAAACACTCATCAAACAAGTGATAGAAAAAAGGGCATCTATGAAAAAACAAAGTAACATCATATTTAATGATTAAAGATTGATTGCTTTCCCCTTGAGACTAAGACAAGGTTGTCCACTCTTACCATTACTATTCAATACTATATTGGAGTAGCCAGAGCAATGAAGCAAGAATAATAAATAAAAGGCATCCAGATTGGAAAGGAAGAAGTAAAACTTCTTCTTATGTCTCCATCCACAGATGACATGATCTCTTATTTAGAAAAAACTAAAGAATTCACACAGAAAAATGAGTCTAATAAAGGAGGTCAGCAAAGTTGCAGGACATAAGATCAATATATAAATATAAGTTGTAGTTCTATACAGTAGCAATGAACAATTCAAAAATAAAATTAATAAAACAATTTTATTTACATTAGCATTAAAATAATTAAGATACGTAAGAATAAAAAGGACAAGATTTACAACCTGAAAACTACAAAACATTGTTGAAAGAAAGTAAGGATGTAAACAAATGGAGAGACATCCCATGTTCATAGATTGAAAGACTTCATAGTGTTAAAATGGGAATACTTCCAAACTAATCTATAGACACAATGCAATCCCTAGCAAAATTTCAGCTGGCTGTTTTGGGAAGTTGAGGGGAACTAACAAGCTGACTCTAAAATTCATATGGAAATACAGACTTCTGGTGTAGCCATGGCAGCTAACGCTACTACCAACCCATTGCAGCTGCTGCCGTTAGAGCTTGGACAAATGTATAGGATCAAGAACTCACATTGTTATGAAGAGTGATAAGGAAATTGTTGGTACTCTAGGATTTGATGACTTTGTCAATATGGTACTGGAAGTTGTCACTAAGTTTGAAATCACACCAAAAGGAAGAAGGATTACTAAATTAGATCAGATTTTGCTAAATGGAAATAATATAACAATGCTGGTTCCTGGAGGAGAAGGACCTGAAGTGTGAATGAGTTTCCTTGACTTATGCTAGATTCTGTTTTGTCTTATAATGACAAGAAAATTGATTTTTTTTCACCTTCTAATGTTTAAATCCTGTAAAGCTAAGTTTCCTGTTAAAGGGAAGTGCTTTGAGGATGTGTACCCATTTTTGTAGGTTTCTTATTTAAAGATGAAAATAAAGGTGCTTTTGGTTAACTGTCATTTTATTTATTGTATTACAGTAGTCATTGGAACAAAGATTGTAGTTATTTTTCCACTTACTTTGGTCATTATATGCCTATTTGCTTTCTCATTTACATGACCATTTGATTCTCAAACAAAAGTTGTTCCAAACAAAATGATGAACTTTGATTTGAACAGGTGGATTTAAACAACCAGAAATGATCACTTAGAAAATTTAACTAAAATGCTGTTGTTTAGTAATGAGGATTTTTCTACTGATTTCAAATTCCATGAACTACTCTTGAAAACAAACAGAATATACAGGTAATATATACACATTGTAGAAATGCAGGAAATATCTATTGGCATTGCCCTAAAGATAGAAATTTTATCTATTTGCTTGTAAAATTGGTTCGGAGAGTTATTAACGTAATGTAGTTATTACCAAATTGCCGAGATATTAGTGGAGACAGAGTTATAAGGTAAAAGATACTAAAACAGCCAAGAACTCTGGGCTCAGGTCAAATCAAAGAACTGATGATAAGATCACTGAACCATATAAATTAAGTCAAAGTTAAGAATTTCTATTAAAAACAAAATAAACAGGCAATATATGCACATTGTAGAATCGTAGATAGGCAAAAAGGAGAAAGTTTGATCATACATTGCTGTATATCTTCATAGACTTTCTCAGTCTACTCTCAGAACACATTTTACTTGCTTATCCTGAATATACTGTTTTTACCCTCCACTTAAGTTATTTTTTGAATTTAAATGGTGAATGTCTTTCTGTGTCAAATATGTCAATACTAATGTGTACATAAATTTTATTAAATAGATTAAAAAAAAAAAAAAACAAGAAATTGCATGGCAAGAGCAGAGGCAAGGGAGAGAGGAGAGGTGACAGACTCTGTCAAACAGGGACTAATGAAGCAATAACTCATTACTCGAAGATGACTGCAAGCCGTTCCTGAGAGATTTGCCCCACGACCTAAACATCTCCAATTAAGCCCCACCTCCAATCTTGGGAATCAGATTTCAACATGAGATTTGGAGAAGTCAAATAACCAAATCATAGCACACACTACACATAAAAAGTAACTCAAAATTGGTCATAGATCTGAATGTAAGAGTTAAAACTATAAAACTCTTGGAAGAAAACAGGAGTAAATCTTCATATACTTGGAATGAGCAATAGTTTTTCAGCTATCACACCAAAAGCACAGCAACAAAAGAAAAATACACGCACCGGACTTCATCCAAATTAAACACGTTTGTGCTTTAAATGATGTTATCAAGAAAGTAAGAAGACAATCCATAGAATTGGGAGAAATATTTTCAAATTATACACCTGATGAAAGACTTGTACCCAAAAAGTAGCAAAGCGGGAAACACAACTCAGTTATTTAAAACCCACTTTAAACATGGGCAAAGGATCTGAATAGAAAGTTCCCCAAGGAAGATACACAAATGGTTAACAAGCACATTAAAAATATGCTCAAAATCATTCATCAATAGGGAAATGCAAATCAAAGCCACAATGAAATGCCACTTCACACTCACTAGGATGCCTACAATAAAAAAGGCAAAAAATAGGACATGCTGGCAAGAATATGGAGAAACTGGAACGCTCAGTGCATTGGTGGTGTGAATGTAAAATAATGCAGCCACTTTGGAAAACAGTTTGGCAATTCTACACAAAGTCAAACATAGAGTTACCATACAGTCCAGCAATCTCTCCCCTGGGTATATACCCAAGAGAAATAAAAACATGGCCACACAAAAATTTGCATACAAATATTCATAACAGCATTGTCCATTCATCAGCTGATATATGGATAGATAAAATGTGGTATACTCATAAAATAGAATATTATGTTAAGGGGGCAAAAAGAAATGAAGTTCTGATAATCCCACAATGTGGATAAACCTAGAAAACATACTAAATCAAAGGAGCCAGTCCCAAAGGCCACATGTTATATGATTTCCTTTCTATGAAACGGCCAAAACAAGCAAATCTATGGGGATATAAAATAGATTAGTGGTGCCTGGGTCTGGGGTGGGCTAGGAGGGCATGGAGAGTGACTTCTAATGGGCATATCATTTGTTGGGGGTGATGAAAGTGTTCTAAAATTAGATAATAGTGACTGTTGCAAAATTCTGTGCATATGTTGAAAACCATTGAATTGTACACTTTAAAGAGATGAACTATAGGAATGTAAATTGTATTTCACTAAAGCTGTTTAAAAAATTAATATGGTGCTGATAGCTCAGCACCTCCACACACTCAGGATGGCTGGAATTGGAAAGGCAGAGGATGTCTAAAGTGGTGTGCAGTCTCCTCCCGCATGGCTGGATCCAAATTCTCCTGCCGTGTCCTCAGGAATCTCTCTCTCCCAGGACTACTATCCTCTGAGTTTACCTTGTTCTCAGGCAGACTGCCTCATCAAGCAACCAGCAACTCCAGGATTACAAGCTTCCAGTCCACCACTTTACCCACTCCGGTAAAAAGACTGCTTTTCCCAATACTTACAGATAAAGCCCCCAGGCTGCTTCTCATTGGCCTGGTTTGGGATATTTGCCTACCATTGAGTCAGTCACTGTGGTCTAGGGAACGAGCTCCGACTGACCTGGCCTAGATGCCATGCTCACTGCTATGTGGGTGATGGCTAGCCCACTGGGACAACAGATTATCATGTGTTGGGGTATTTTCTCCTAAGAATTTTGAGGTGCTGATAGCAGAAGCGAGTATGGGTACTGGGATCCACTACAGTGGTAGAAAGTATAATCTATTAAAGCAGTGTCATTAAACCTTCTGAGCATAGCAATGAAAAGATCTATTATGATCCCTGGAAGTGATTTTTAAACCCATGTGTAAAAAAAGGGTGTGCCCAAGGTTGAACAATAGGCTTTGATTGAATATCCAGCTACACAGATGGCACCTCTTGGAAAATTTCCAAAATGAGAGCAAACAGTTGAAGCTCTCTATGGTTTTGATAAATCTCATCCTTGGGATTCTATAGCTAGACTTGGCACAATTCTGACATATAGTTCCAATTGCAACTTTTCCATTTCACCATAGTATACACAAACCTGATTTCTAATAGCAAGACTGCAGAAGTAGAGGAGCCTAACATGTCTCCCAAAGTAAATGAGGGAGTAGGCTGAGGAGAAGAGCTGCAAATACAGGAAATTGTAAGGATATTATTTTACACTGGGGGCTTTCCCATAGCTTAGCATTTTCATGCATTAATTTCTCTTTGCAAACAAAGACCAGATGCTATCTTGTAGTTTTTGTAGCTTCAGTAGCAATTCTGCAAAGTAGATGTAAAAGAAATTTTTCAAAATAATACGTTTGATTATTGAGAATTTTATCTTGTGTGAGAATGCTGCTACTACTACTATTAAAATTAATAATAATAGCTAACAATTATTGAGCACTTACACGCAGTAGCTAATTTAATCCTCACAAAACTTTAAGAGGATGGTATCATTTCAACAATTAGGATACTCAGAGAGGTTAAGTGACTTATCTAACAACATAAAACTAATAAAGGAGGGGGCCAAAAAAAATTTTTTTTTGAGATAGAGCCTCGCTCTGTTGCCAGGCTGGAGTGCAGTGACATGATCTCAGCTTACTATAACCTCCACCTCCTGGGTTCAAGCAACTCTCCTTCCTCAGTTTCCCAAGTAGCTGGTACTACCGGCGTCCACCACTACATGCAGCTAATTTTTTGTATTTTAGTAGAGATGGGGTTTCACCATGTTGGCCAGGATGGTCTCGATCTCCTGACCTCGCGATCTGCCCACCTCAGCCTCCCAAAGTGCTGATATTACAGGCATGAGCCACCGCACCAGGTCAGGGCCAGAATTTAAACTCATTTCCTGGTCACTTCTTTTCATCACTTTACTTGAATTTTAGGAGATAGCCTCTAAGTTATAAGCCATCAGAAGACTTAGTGATTCTGCCATGAGGCCTAGTTACTGCAGTGACCACAAAGGCACACACATGAAACCGCACACGCACACACACATACACACACATATACCACAACTGTCGCACACTCCCAGGCTGCTTCTCTGTTCCAGCTGATCTGATGTCCCTCTCTCACTTCTTTCTCAGAAAGGCAGCCAACACTCAGATGTGGAGTCAGAAGTCAATGCCATTTCCTTCCTGGGCAACCCTTTATAAATTGCTTAAACCCTCTAATCTTCAGTGCTTGTAAAAGCATTCTGCCTCCCTCACCATGTCCTTGTCAGGATCAAATAAGCTTATGTTGGGCAGGCACTTTGGATGTATAGCTGTAGCATGTGTATCAGAGGAAGACATTACATTCATTCACCTTTCTCACAGTGGCTACAGAAACGGGGCTCCAGGCAGGCCCCTGCTCCCTGCTCTCAGCAGCCCTTGACATTCAGAGTGTTGGCTACATCATTCATTCTTCCTGTCTCTGAGGAAAAGAATGCAAAGAGGTTAAAAAAAAAAAAAAAAAAGTGGAGCTGGGTGCCTTTACTCTATGCCAGCCTAAAGGGGCATATACCAGACTCTTTCTACTCCTCAATAGGTAATTTGGGTCTAAAAGTCAAAATAATCACCAAAACTCTGTAGCAGCCAGCTTTTGGAAAGGAATACTCACCGGTAACAAGCTGATATGACTGGGATCTTCTCCAGACCTTTTCAGGTTACACAAATGACACCAGATCTAGTGTAATCCCCACTGAAAGAGAAGGCTCTACATTTTCCAGGGCTGTATTCAAAGAAGACTCCACTGCTTAGGGACAGAACCACACACACTTCTTTCCACACACACCCCACCACCAAGTCCAAACCATTTAGCTATCGCAAAGACAGCAGACATATATTCCAATCCTGGCTTGCAGGTCTTTGTCATTAACAGATGGAAGAGAAGGCATGGGAACTCAGAGAGGCTGTTTGTTAGAA